GGCTTATTTTGATGCAAATCCCAATTGGATGGAAACGTCAAAACAAAAAAACCTTCTTCTAGGCTTTTTGCAATAAAGGTTTTTTATATAAATAGCATAAAGTAACATCACTTTTATCAAGTTCTTAATTTATATTAAATTTTAATATCCTTTTGATGCAAGAGAGTATCTTTAAAGACCCATCAAGTAGTGTAGTTAACACCACACAAAAGCTTTTATTTGCACTGATAAAAACCAGACCTTTAGATTTCTAATTTTACAGCTTTACTGATGGGAACTATTGTAAATAGAGCTCCTGATTATTTTTAATAGCACTATTACAACTATTTTATATAATCAGTCCTTTTTTTTTTCTTTTAAAAAGTTTGGAGAACTCACAACTGTGCTCGGAAAGCACAGCTTTGCCTTTGGTAAACGAAGTATGGGACAGCACTGCTATATTTTTATTTATGCATTTGGCACTACAGGATCTCTCCTCTCGTAAAAAACATTGCCTCATTTTTGTGAAATAAGAGCCTTTTTTTTCCTTATGAATGTACAGGTGCCCCAGTACAGAATTTCTGTTGTCTTTCACATCTTTATATTGTGGCACCTTACTTCCTATGAAGGGGTATAGCTGAATTCACCAAAAAAACTAGAGAGCTTTGTGACCTTCTAGGGTATGACACAGCATTGGAAGAACAGAAGAGGTAAAAATGGTGTGAGATACAGAAGAAAAAGAACACAGGACACAGAAGGTTTGGAGAAAATATGATTATAAGAATAGGCTATTAAAAACCAGGACTAGTGCAGCTCTCCAAAATACATGCAAGGTGCAACTAATTTAGGAACCATCAAATATCCTTGCTGTGGTATTTTAGTAAGTTTGGGAATTTTTTTCTCCTTCATGAAAATAGCTTCCACTTATTCAGTTTAACAGTGTGAAATTAAACCTAAATATATCCAGGCTCTTTGTCTGAAGAAGTATATGAATGCCCACAAAAGTTTTCCATTTCACGTTTTACAAATCTCAATCCCCCATGCAGCAAGTATTTCACAACCTGCAAGGATCAGTGTTGTATGGTAGGAAGTTAGTTATTTATCCTCAGTAACCTAAAAGCCAGCAGAGTCATTTGAAGAACTGTGATATACATAATAGTAGATGATAAAGACAATCCAGTGGCAGCGTGATGGATTAGCTCATGATTTGTGATTTCTGTCCAAATCTCTACATTTTTACAATAATATGCTTTATCCTTCTCACCAATTTTCTCTCCTGCTCATGTCCCAGTAGGTAGCTGAGTTGAAATTCTGTAATGAAAACCTTTCAAGGTGCTGTCTAGGTATGTTTGTCCAAATGGAACCATGCAGCAAAATTCATTCCATGACAAAGCATTATTGCAGTAAAGTGATGACCACATCATCATCTTTTCCTTGCCAAAGCATTTCACCTTCAAAATGAACCAGACCATGTTTTCTGGCTCTTAACAAGATTCCTACTACTTTATTGGAAATAGTCACATATGTTTCAAACAGCTGCCCGAATGTCACACTCACGTGTCCATCTTCTCCTACCTGTCCAGTGCTTCTAATGATCAAGCACAGCTCTTCTACTTCCTTGCCCACGTGTGAGTGAGCATCTTTCCCTCTCTGCTCTGTCCGAGACCCTTCAGGGGGTCTCCCATAGGTAGGATCTCCTCGGTGAGTGTGCGCAGGTTTAGATGCAAGCCTGTCGTCATTGCTGAACGGGTTCTTTTTCTGATACTCAATGTGATCCTCTGCCCAGGTCTGCCAACTTCTCCTCAGGTCACCCACTGCACTGGTAGCTTTAGCACTCTGCCCTTTATCTCCTTCCATTTCTTGAAAAACGTTTTATGGTGCTCAAGCAGGAAACAAATCAATGACTGCTTGTAACTGCGGTTCTTAGGTGCACTGTCAGCTGTAAAAGAAAAACAACAAATCAGCTCGATAATTTTTGGAGGAGTTTTGCTCAAGTGAGAGGAAAGGCTGCTGAAAAAGACAATAAATATCTGAAGACTTTTTAAGTCCACCCATAATTCTACAGCAATGAAGAAAGTAAAAGCGATCCAGCTGAAATTCAGAAACAACGTTGGAACACAATAAGTTATTCGTAAAAGCCTCTGTGCAACACAAACATAGTGCAGTACTTACTTTTCCTGCAATGATGCCTTTTAAAGAACTTTATCCTAGTACCCGGCAGCCCCGCTGACTTCCCAAACAACCTGATGCAGTGCTGGCTGACCCGGGAAGAGAGCAAACCATTCCCCGAGAGGCAGCGCAGCAACCCATGTAAAGGGGTGGAAAGCCTTTCTCCTGCCTGCGCGCTGATTAAAGGTGGACAAATTCACGCTGTGCTGACAAGGTTCCCACAGACTGTGGAAGTTATTATGCACAGAAAATATTATCTGGAGCTGAAATGGCAGTACATGGTGGGAGCAGGAGGATTTTCCTCATCAGGCACTGCAAAGAGGAGTGGAAATCCCAGTTAGTGAGCGTGTCACTATATGCAACACCCTATTTAGTGAAGAAGACAAAACCCGAATAGATAGTTCTCCCTTAAAAGGCTGCGCTGCACAGCCATGTCTGCCAGCTACAAGCCACAGGCAGGCTCCAAGGGAAGGGAGCTTGTGCTCCAGAGGGGAAACTGCCTTACCGCTCCGGGTACACGGGCTGCCCCCCACCTATGACATTACATGTACTTAGATTATGGGTTATCTGCGAAGTACAGGATTATTTTGATGAATTAGGCACAGACTTTTGCATACCTACAGAGATCTGAATGTGTTATAACCATGTCTTTGCTGGGTCGTATTTTTCACCTGTTGAAATATGCAAACTAGAGTTTCCATATAGCACATTAGTAGAGCTGATACTTTTACTGACATTTGAAGACAAAACCGAGGATTAGTGCTAGTTTTTCTATGGGGAAATGGACAGAAATGCAAATTCTGAACAGTTTAACAACTGAATTATAGAACAGGTATTTCTATAATTTAAAAAGATTCCTGTTTTTAAGGTAGAATTTCATGGATATTTGTCCATACTGGGCAACTTGGCCCAAATTGCACCATGTTGGTGCTGTGGCACATGAACCCATGAGCAGTGACAGAGCTCACCGAATGCCCCAGCAGAATGTGCAAGTCAGTCAAAAAACACTTGTGTTGCCTCTGGGTCCAGAAGAGGGCATGGAGTGAGCAGAAAATGGCAACACAATTGCTACAAAAGAGACCTGAGAATAAAAAGCAGCAGCACACATTAAACAATGGCTTTTCAATCATGCTCTCTCACTTTTAAACTGAAACTCATGATTGGCATATGATCCTATTGTTATATTTTTTTGTGAGAGGAAGGTGGTTAATTCTAGCTTCCTGGATGAATTTCAAGATGAGTAATTACATTTTGTGTACTTAAAATTTTCCTCAAAATTTTAAGGCTAAAAGGCTAAAAAGGACAATTTTTCTTTCTTTCTCTCCCTAAAATAGTTACATAATGTTGTTGATTTAGGATGACTTCCCAAATCCACACTAACAAACTGCTTTATTCTCCTCAATGACATTACAGGAATGTATGTTCAGTTTACAAACAGAGCATCTGAAAAGCATTTTGTTTTTACATCAGAATCAAATACACTGTAAGTCTTAGTAATGTACATTGACTTTCAAACTGTGCTAAAGTCTGAAGCAAGAAAAAACCAGGGCTTTAGTTAAATTCTTCTACAGAAGCAGTATCACTGGAAAACTGAGGTATTCATCTCGTGAGAACAGACAGCAATGCTATGAAGATAAAGCAGTGCAGATAAAGTAAGCAAAAGCCAGTCTCAAAGAGATTAAGCTTAAAAATAATACCAATAACGCCTCCTAAGGAGTTTCAAAAATGGAAGCCATACAGCTAAGAAATTTAAAGTGAGACAGAATGTAAAAATAAAAGCAGGCTTCTTTCAATAAATCTCTCTCAGCAATCCCAAAATTTTGTAAGCAATCTCAGGCTCTCGGGGTTTGTCAGCAGTTCAGCAATGTGTTTATTGCTGGGTGCCAGCATTCAACTGCTCAGGTGAACAAGCCTGATCCACATCTACCTCTTTTCTTTCTCTTCTAGGAAAGTTCACGTTTAGCTGCCAGGTCACTTTAGATTGTTTTCTTGTCAATCATCAGGGCTAAAACTTCACAGTAAACCTCAGTTTTGATTACTGCAGGAAGGGATAACTGGAGAAGCTGCAGGATGGGATTATGGAGATGCATAAGGAAGGTGGCCTGTGGAGTGCACACTGGTCATGAGCAAAATCTTAGCCATCTAGAAAAAAAGCTGTCCAAAAATTAGCACATAAAATACAGAACATGAGTTCAGTGCTGAGCCAGCCTGATTCTAATGAAAAGCTTACCAAAATCTGGATAAGCCAAATCTCTCAACTCAACATAACAGGGAGATCAGTGAGTACAAGATTATAGTTATCAAGCCTAGATATTAAAATAAAATATAATCCGCAAGACAAATCCCTTCCCCCACCCCCGTTGGATCGTCACACCTCTGTCCTTCTCCTGGGAATCTGCTTCTCTACGTGGTCCGACACCCACGCCGCCGGTGCTGACCTCCTTCCCACGGAAAAACGAATGCGACTCCTTTGGCATCTGTTAATTCTTAATGTTATTTAATGCTCCAGATCCTTAAATGTGGCCAGGAGAGGCCGCAGCGCTGCCCTACCAGTGCTAACACCTCTGAGCCAGCGTGTGTCCCCAGGATACGTGTAGTTATTTATAAACCATACGCAGGCTCTGCTGTCCTGACACGTGGCGCGCATGATAAAGCACACACAAAATACAAATTACAAGAAGGATGAGAAGGAGACGAAATGAACAGTAGTTAACGCAGAGTGCGCGCAGCACCCAGTCCTCCCGCCTCGCTCGGTCCGCGGGGTATCCCTGTCACACGCCCCCGGCCGGGCTGATCCCGCCTCTCCCGCCCCACGGCGCGGAGCCCGCCCGCTCCTGGCGGCGCATGCGGGGGGCGGGGGATGGGCGGACATGGAGCTGGCGGCTCCGGCGTTCCGGCGGTACTTGCTGCTGCTGGCGCAGGAGCATCTCGAGTTCCGCCTGCCGGTGAGCGCTGCAACGGGCCGGGACCGGGACCGGGACCGGGACCAGGGCCGGGAGCCGGGGCCGGGAGCCGGAGCGCTCCCGGACAGCGCGGTCCCGGGTGTGCCCGCGGGCGGCCGGACCCTGGTGGGGCCTCGCCCGCCCCGGCTCGGGGAGAGCCGGGGACGAAGGGCTCCCGGTCCCTCTTCGCTCTCCGCTCCCCGCGTCCCGGGGCAAGGGACCCCCAAGCGTGGGGCTGCCTCTCCTCCCTTCCTGCCCCGTGGAGAGCGTCTGCGTGGTGGCTTTTTTCCTTGCTTTTGGCGCTAGGAGAGGTTGGCAGCAGAGTACGTGGGGCTCCACGTGAGAAGGGGAAGCTGGGGGGGGGGGAATGGGGTTACAAAAATGCTTTCACAAGGTCTTGCTCTGGTGACTTTTAAAATTTGTTTAAACTGTATTGCTGCTCCCGCCAGCGTGGTGTGGGTACAGAAAAGGTTGGTGCAGCCCTGGGGGACGTGTGGGGTCAGCTCTCATTCCAGTGTCCGATGGACTGCCGGGGGAAGTGGTGGAGTCACCGTCCCTGGAGATGTTTAAGGAAAAGACTGGATGTGGCACGTTGTGCTATGGTCTAGTTGACATGGTGGTGTTCAGAGATAGGTTGGTCTCCATGATCTCAGAGGTCTTTCCCAACCTGATTGATTCTGTGATTCCCTGTCCCAGGTGTTTATGGAGCTTTGTGAGGCAGGAGAGTTGCAGGAGTTGCATTTTCAGGAGGAAGATGTGGGGGGCAGCGAGCATGGTGCTCTCTGAAGCCCTAGGGTCTGTGACATGGGCCGGGAGCACATGAGCAAGGCCTTGGCTGGCGTCCTGGTTGTGAGCCTTGCTCGCACGAGTGGCACTGAGGACTGTTCTCTTTCGGCTTGTGATCCTGAGTGTTTGCTTCCATGCAGTCAGAAGGGTTTGTGCCCCACTGGCCTGTGTGGGATTAGGCAGAGTAGAGCAGCTTCTGTGGTGGGATCAGAGCAAGTGCTGCCTCGAGTGCTGCACTCTGCTTGTCATTGACACGTGTGTGATGGTTGGTTGCAAAATCTGGAGTGCAGAGTGTGTCCCCTGTCGCTAAATCTGTTTTACCTTATCAAGTAGTGTTCACAGAAATAATTGAAACAAAAATAAATTGTAACTTATTTGAAGATCCCTGGTCTTTTTTATGAATCCCAAGTGTTTTTTATGGGCCCTTGGTGAATGTGTAGTTTAGCATACACTCAGTTTCTACATTAGTAAGAAAATCCTCTTGTTTGTAAATTTAACTTGTGATTATTTTTTTTTTCCCATGATAATTTATGGAGTTGCTATACACCTTAACAAATTTTGATACCCAAAGGGCTCTTCTAGGCACCATCTAGAAGAGCTAGTAATATCCAGGATGGTATGTTATTGTTTAAAATAGTGCCAAAATGCGGAGTTATTTTATTAGAATTGGTGGGTCATCATTACATGTGTTATAAAATATTTAATGTGTCTTGCATCATTTGTTTTCCTTGTTTTCATTAAGGCTTTCTTTTGTGCATTGATTTTTACTATTTGCTTTGTGAGACTGGAACATGAATTTATTTATTTATGATCAACCCAGTTTGTCTTTAGGCAAAGTCATCAGATGAAGTAAGAAGATGATATGTAACAAAGTTTTTGTTTTATCACCAGGGTTGTAGTGGCACTTGGCCGATATAGCTGCTGTAGAAAGCAGTTCCATTTCCCTTTTCTTGTACTCTGCTCAGCTATGTGTTTGGCTTTGTCATGAGCTGTGTTAAGGACTTAATGAAACAAGGAAGGACAGATTTTTTAGCCAGATGATCTGCTTGATCTCCATCTCTACCACATCTGCATATGGGATATGAGAGGACTGCTTTTGTACTTCTGGTAGTGCTGGATCACAGCAGCTGAAGGTGTTTGTCAGAGTCCACATTTGTTATTCAGTGTCCGAAGTTACGTGTTTCATATTTCTTAGTTGATAAACTGTGCTCCATAATCAGGGATCTGTTTTTTGTTAGGTCAGATACTTAGGGGTAAGATCAGGCATCCTGTTTTACAGCAAAGCTTGTGCCTAATGGACAGATCAGTGCATGTCGAATGTTTTCTTATCAATGTCCTCAGGCAGATATGTTCCAGTGCTTCATTGTCTTTACTCTTGGAAGGATCTTCCCAAATTCTCATCCAGAGTACTGCTGTGATTTGAACCTCATTCAGTCATCTCCATAATAAACGTTGAAAACAGATTATTATCTTTCTTTATCACAGCAACCTTTAGCATATGTAGCTGGTCTCTCCCAGCCTTTCCTTGCAGGCCATGTTTTTTCTGCTTCTCATTTTTGTCACTTTTCTGTAGGTAATATTACTGGTGTTTGGAGGTGCCACCGACTCATGTGTAGCATCTCAGGTGCTTTTTGTGCCTCAGGACCATACAGTGAAATGGTTACACATAATCATATTCTCCTGGAGCAAACCCCCTGTTTTTTCCAATGTTTCTTATGTCCTTTCTATTCAAATGGAAAGATGGAAATGAGTGGGGTAATGTCCCACTAAAACCATATGCTAGTGTCATGTTGGGTTTTCTTTTCCTCCATTTTTTTTGGTGATAATTAATGGTAATCTTTTCATTTACCCACTCAGTTGAAATCTAAGCCACTATAAAATTTTGCCTCTGTGTTCTTTTGCCAGTATCATTCAGAGATTGCAGCATGTCATTTCTAGTATTGGGGCTACATGAGAAACATCCCTGGTGTTTACATCTCATTTGAGTTTGAAAGTCTTTTTAGTGCATCGTTTTTTTCTTTTTTTCAGGTATTACTTATTAGCTTGTTTCTTGGTGGTTTGTTCTTTCATATGTTCAATTTACAGTCTTTTGATTTAGAGAAGACATCTGCTGAAGAAAACTGTTGAGATACTTGTAAAGCAGAGAGGTAACAGAAATGGAATTGATGCTCGGTGCTTGCCCTGGCCCTGGGTCAGTGTTACTAGTGAAACATCATTTTTATGTGAATTAGGCAGAAAAATATTTTAAGAATAGAGAGAATAATATTGTAAGAGGAATATTGTTATGAGAGAGCAGGGTTGAACAGTAAAGATTTAGACGAAAGAGAAAATATGAAGCAGGGGAATTTGATTACTGAAATTTGCCTAACAGAGCCCATTCCTTTGCCACTGAACTCTGAGAAAACTGCTTTTATAGCAGGAAAGTCTTAATTTTTTTTCTGTTCATGAATAGTACATACAAGCTGAATTTATGTGTGAACTTCTGTCCTATCCACACAACTACTCTGAGTGTTTCACTGTTAGTTCCCACAGTAAAGTTGGTAGTACATGCTATTCTGTCTTCTCTTGCTGTCTCTAGAATTTTCTTCACAATCCTCACCGTCTGCATTAGAATTTGTGTTATGCTGCCCTTTTTTCCTTGTTTCCCACCTTTCTTTCTTCAAAACATTCGTTAATGATTCTGAGGCCTGACCTTTATATTTTCAATTTAGGAAATATCATCATTGCTCTCCCTTTGTGGTGGAAAATTCAGTGGTGAGCAGGAAATTCGTGTAAATGTAAGTGAGGACCAAATATTTTACTTGAGTGTGTGTATGGGATGCAAGTACGTTCTTTATAGTATTATTGTTAAATGTGGGTAGCTGAATAAATTTTGAAGTTTCTTAGAAAAATCAAGAATCTTCCAAAAATGAGGAACTCTCAATTTCAGTGAAGACTCAGAACTTATAAAAAATATGCACAAAATGCACCTCAGGCTGTCTTCATTTAAGACTGTGAAAAGAAGTAGTGCCATCTGCTGGGAGGCTCTCCTTTCTTCTCAGAATAGGCGAACTGTGAAAACATTCAGCAGCACTTTGGATTTGGTGTTTGCATCTAAATCAGTGAGAGAGAATATGACTAGGAAGCTGTATGATTTTGGTCTCAGTGCTTAGTCAGAGAATATTACTGGGAATAAGTTACTACTTTTGTGTAACGAGATGTTTTCCGTCTTTAGGGGCTGAATAATCTACAGAAGTGCAAACAAATAATATTTTGCTAAGTCAAAGATACAGTAGAAAAATGAAATACATAACAAAATTTCTCAGACATTCAAGCCAAGTAAACAGTTTTGCCTGAAATTAAATATTTATCTTCTGTATGATTACAGTCAACAGATTTATTTTTTTTTAATTTATTTTCAGCATGCATGTTCTGTTTTTATAGAACAGAATTGTGTAGTTGTGTAATTCATCTGACATCCTCCAACTAGGTATTTGTATGATTTATCTTCTCTTTATTTCAGTCTCCGTTTTGGATTCTCAATATTCCTTCAGAAGAGATGGCAAGGGGACTAATGAAACGGACAGTATGTGCAAAGTAAGAGATGGAAAATCCTGTAAACGATAACTGAAGCGGTGGAATATTGTTTTGTTATGTTGTGGCAAATACAGATTTTTTATGGAGTCTTCAAATAAACAGTCTTTGATTTCTTCTAGAATTGAGAAGATGTAACTGGATGTTATAGGACTCCTGTAGGACTGATTATGTAGAGTTCACGTTCTCTTTACTTGGTGTATGATCAAGTCAGGATAGTGTTCTTCACTCCAGAGACAGTACTCACTGATGTTTTATTGACCTTGAATAAAGTTTAGTTAGTGAGTTGTTTTAAAACATGTCTGGAACTAAAAGATAAAAACAATGATAAGTAAAAATTGAAAATCAAGTTTTGAAGGGAAAGATTGTGTTACCCTCCCTTAGTGCTGGCATCTGAACCCTCAGCCCAATCTGCTGCAGCAGAGGTCCTTCTAGAAAATTCAAGAGCACAAGAATATGCCAGAGAGTGATTGTTCCAGCTGGTCCTTTTTAGAGGTGTCTGAATAACATTCTTTGCAGTGAGGCTTGTGAGAGAGGCTGTGGAGGTATGGTTCGGGATGAGAGCCGGTGTAAGTGTGGTATGTCTCTCTGACCATACTAAATTTGTGGTGTCTGTGCTGTGTTCTTCAGAGTTAGTTTGGGCCCTTCTGCAGAGCGTTGCGTAGTCCCCGTTGAGTCCTTATTGTGTCAGGTATTCACTTTTACCTCCAGTGACTAGGGCTGTCCAGTCTTGCCTAAAGGAGTCCCATGTGTACAAAACTGTCCTTATGACAGTATGTTTCCAGTGGAGATCAACTGTACTGCACTTCAGAAAGCAGCCATAGGCAACCAATGAAGTAAAATACGACAAAGCAGCTTGTAGATGTTCTGTATACCATGATCTCTCAGCTAATGTATCCTTATTTTATGTAGAAAGTGTAGCTAGCCCACATCTTCATTTTCTGGCCTACTACTTGTTGTGGGAAGACATGTTAGGTTTAGAAGAAAATTTCCGGTGCATCTCCATTGCACTGCTAATCAGTAACAAAAGCTCTAAAGCTTTTGGTATATGTTACCAAATAAAAAAAAAAAAGCATTGTTAAAATGTCATTTTAGGATTAAAAATTAGTGTGTCCTTCTTAAGAACAAAAATTAAAACATTTGCTAAGAGTTAAATACCACACTTTAGTACTCCAGTACTAAGTAAAGCCTAAATAAATTGACCAAGAAGGTTAAAAGGAGTAAGTGTCTGTAAGGCATTTTGCCCCCTCCATGTGACTGCACTCTCAAAAACTGTGTAATTCCAGGTCTATATTTGAACTGTGGGGTCATGGAAGATCTGAGGGGGAGCTCTATGCCTCTCTGAAGAACTATCCAGTGGACAAGATGGTATGCATATAAAGAATCTGGATAATATGGTTCCTCTATGGACTGAATAGCACTGCATCTGTACTAATGAAATGGTCTTTGCCTTTTTTTTTCAGCTTCCATATCTACAGTCAGACTCTACTTACAAAGTACATATTCATACGTTTAACAAAACACTGACTCAAGCACAGAAAATAAAAAAGATCGATGTAAGTAGGTGGTTAAGAAATCTTTGATGTTTAGTTTAATCATTTATGTTGTTCTTATTCCATGCTCTCAGAATTTTTAAGTTTGGGGTTCCTGAAGATCTGAAAGAAGTTTATTGCTTACGTCTTATCAGGTCTAAATGAGATCTTTGCATCCGAATTAAAATTCCCTCAAAATTCATGACTTTTTTTTTTTTTGTTTCCCTAAACAGCCCATGTGAGGCATATACAAAGCCAAATAAACATCACCGCTGATTTTGGCCCAGTGTGCTGGGGAAACTGAAGCTTATTGTCCAAAATGCTGAGATTCAAGTGGCTAGAGTTAGGTGCTAGACTTTTGGAAAATTGGTTACTTGATCTGCGCATTAGGCTTTTATTGTTGCAGAATGTGGAACAAGTGACTTCAGTTGTAAGCTGTGGATTGTGTGCTGATCTCCTGCTCTGTCGTTACGCTCTTTTCTGCACTTGTGCTCTCCTCCTAACTGTATCAGTATTATAATTAGGAAATTTTTCTAAATTACCGTTGATTTTTTGTTCTTCCACATTCTATTTTATCAGCTTTTTCTTTTATTTACACCATTTACGGAGACTGAAATTATCTGTATTAGTAGTAGCCACTCTTTCCTGTTTGTTCAGTTTTTGTGTGCATGAAATAATACTGAGTATGTAAATTGGTGTAGCTGCACATCACTGAAACTTTATATCCTATTGTTCATCATCAGTGTTGTTTTTATAACTTGAAAATTGCATAAATGATATGCACCATTTATTTCCTCTAAAGTTGGGTTCTCTTCAGTTAATAAAAAGTGTTATGGTTCCTGATTTCTAGTTCTTAATCATTTGAGGTATTTTTATTTACAGGAAAGGTATTTCAAAAATCTAGATAAAATTGAGAATGTACTTTTTAATACTTATCTATCATTTCTCCTAGTAAAATTGTGGTGGGGGTTTTTGGGGGCAAGACTTTGTTTTGGTTTTTTTTCTATTTAAAAAATTGACCCTGTTTTGACATTTTTTTTACTCTATTTTTTCTTTTTTGTATAGGCCCTTGAGTTTCTGCCATTCAAAGGAAAAGTAAATTTAAAGAATCCAGAACACATCTTCTGGATTTTGGAAGATTATGGAATGAACCCAAATAATGTTCCAGAAGAGCCCTTTCATCTGTATTTTGGTAGATGGGTGCGTGAATATGCTTGCTTCAGTTCTTATAAGCTTGTATTTTCAGGAAAGTGTTCTTCAATTGAAATGTAAAAAATTGTATTGACTTTCAGTGGAAGCAGACAATATAATTATGTCTGAATCTGTCACTGCAAGTCTGGGAAACTTTACTGTGACTAGGAAAAAGTGGGTTTATTGAGCAATTTGGAGGTGGAAAAAATGAAGTTGTATCTGGAAACACACCTTCTTGCCCTCCACTGAGAGAACTCAGCACAGCTGTGAGACTGCGCAGCTGTGGTGGTGTATTATGTTGTTGTGGGACCAGCTGCAGCTGAAAGCACCAGCAGTGTGTTTCAGACATGTAGAGAGATATACAGAACTATAGGTGGCTTGTGGCCCTGCTGAGTTGCGTCAGGCCCACTAGAGCATTCTGTAAGTGCTTCAAGAGGTCCTGACAGGAACCTCCACAGAAGGGTGCAGACTGATCCCTGAGGCTTTGGACATCAGCAGGTTCAGTGCACAGGCCCAAGGAGACACTGGGAGTGCAGGGCCTACAGCAGGAACCAGTTATAAAAACTGTCTGGAGCCTGTCAGCTGAGGTCTTCACTACAAACCTTCTTGCCTGTTGACCATATACACTCTAAAGCTGCCGCATTATTAGGATATCCTGAGGAAATTTGATCTGGTCTTTTATATTTTTGTGAGGAAAATGTGGCTCCCCAAAGGACATCTTCCGGAATGACACTAGCCACTGATGGGAATATGTGCTAGCAGTGTCCTGGGTAAAGGGCAGCTGGAAGGAGGGAGAACCACTGCAGAGGCTGTACAGCTATAATCAGTGGCTTGTGTACAGGGAAGTCAGACATCCAAGTGATCTGTTAGGACCTGTGAGTGTTCTTTCTGCATGTGATTAATGTGTAAGCACTCTGGGTTGTGGCAATACTGTAAAACATTGCAGCTGTTGGCCCATCTGTGCTGGATTTCTGAAGTATTGAGTAAACTAACCTGAAAAAAATACGCAAATGTATTTTGTTTACCCAGTGAGACTGATGTTGACCAGAGATGGGGGGATAGTGTTGGAAGAGCTTTTGACCATGTCTTCTTGCAGATTGGGTTGGTCTTCTTCAACATATTTTAGAAGTCTGATGTAAAAATACTAGCATTTGGTCTTTGTTTGCTTTTCCATTAAATTCTGATCTGTCAGTGCTATCCTAAATTTAGATTTTGAGCATGGCAGAAGTGCCAGTGAAGAAGGAAGTTCTGTATGACCTTAAGCATACGTGTGTGTATGTGCAATGCATGTGTTAACATGCATCTCTCCTCTTCTTAATTTTGAAATTCTTTTAACTCTGAATTGCCAGGAATTGTTTTTCTGATAGAATAGCAAAGTTGCTGTAATAGTTATCTCTTCAGAAGAATTTTCTCTCTAAAATGTTTGTATATTTTTAACCTCTGTCTTGAAGAATTTATCTAGGTGTTGAACCAAGATATCTGTTGCTCGGAAAGAAGTCTGTCATATTTTCAGACGTCAGAAAGCAAGGTGATGTGTTATGAAATGAAGTTACCTGGTTTTGGATGGTGTCACTTAAGCACATGTTAGCCTGCCTGCCTGTATCTTGTATTTAAGACCTGACAGGGATTTTAAATGTTTCAACAGATTGCAGATGGCCAAAGAGAACTCATTGAATCCTACAGTGTAAAGAAGAGACACTTCATTGGAAATACAAGCATGGATGCCTGCCTGTCTTTCATTATGGCCAACCATGGGAGAGTAAAACCCAATGATGTTGTATATGATCCATTTGTTGGAACAGGTATATATATTTTTTTTCCACTGGTGGGAAAAACTGGAAGATTGTCTTACTGTTTGCACCAGGTTTTACCTGGTGCAGTGGCTTCTGGTGCTCAGCTGATATTTGAGAGGATACCAAAGGCAAAATGGTGATTGTAAAATGAGTAGTCTGTTAACTTGAAAGGGATTTTGGGGGAAGGAGACCAACTTCCAAAGCTATAAACAGTTTATTTCACACTTCTAAAAAATCCATCTTCGTGGTTTTATTTTATGCACCATGGGTTAAACGCTACTTCATATGTGTTATGGACTGCCTAAGATCCAAAGTGACCAAGAAGTGAAATTTGGCTAATGCACTTCCTGCCGTCACTTTCAGGGGGTTACAAGGAGTGGCATTTTAGAGCTGGCTATTTAGAGTGCTGAGGGCACGTCTAGGCTTTTAACACAGCGTAACAATAGTTAGGTCATAGCATTCAGTAGAGATCAAAGGAGAATACTGCTCACACCACATATCCGCCCCCAGCTGAACTTTTCCTAGTTTATCCAGGAGGGGGAGCTTTTATTCCACATATGACATAAAAGTACATTTTGACTCAGAGAAACTGAGCTGTTGTGTAGGTGAAATAGCTGATCTGTTGTGTCAGGTTGTGCCATATAATCATAGCAGAGTATATTGTATTAAGCTACCTATAGTAGTTTCTTCAAAAACGTAACGAAGGCTCTGTTTTTGACCTGGATTTTAGAATCATAGAGTAGAATCATAGAACATCCTGGGTTGGAAGGGATCCACAAGGATCATCAAAGTCTGACTCCTGAACCTGCACAGGACAACCACAAGAGTCACACCATGTGCCTGAGAGCACTGTCCAAACACTTCGTGAACTCTGTCAGGCTTGGTGCTGTGACCACTTCCCTGGGGAGCCTGTTCCAGTGCTCAGCCACCCCCTCGGTGAAGAGCCTTTTCCTGATATCTAACTTAAACCTTCTCTGACTCAGCTTCAAGCCATTTCCTCCAGTGCTGTCACTGGTCACCAGAGAGAAGGGATCAGTGTCTGCCCCTCCACATCCACAGCAGTTTCAGACTGCAATGAGACCTCCCGTCAGTCTCCTCCAGGCTGAACAAATGCCCTCAGCCGCTCCTCATACGGCTTCCTCTCAAGGCCCTTCAACATCTTTGTTGCTCTCCTTTGAGTGCTCTCTAATGGCTTAATATCTTTCTTATATTGTGACATCCAAAACTGCACACAATATTCAAGGTGAGGCCGCACCAGTGCAGAGCAGAGCGGGACAATCCCCTCCCTCAACCAGCTGGCGATGCTTTGCCTGATGCCCCCCCGGGATACCGTTTGCCCTCCTGGCCAACTTGCTACACTTTGATCAAGATAACCACGTGTGAAATGCGTACGATTAAAAATGCTTACATTAATGGAAGGATGAGGATAGTTTTCTGCAGAAATGACTGCAGAGAAGTTAGGGAGAGAGAAGACAACACTACAGGGTCACCAGTAGGATAAATTCTTAATAGCATGTATCTTCTCTGTACCACAGAAAACAAACCAGGGATGTAATATTTTCAGAAACACAAGGCTTCAGTGAACTCTTATGTTTTTGTCTTAAATTTTTGTTCATATATGATCTGGGTTTTTTTCATGCATAATAATGTCTCATGAAATTTTCTCCTCATCCTTGTGCTTGTCCTTCTTTGAAAGGTTCAGGAAATTCCTCTACTTATCTGTGAGCAGTTTGTTTGATTTTGGTATCTATGGCTTTGCATCTTCTTACAAAAATCTGCTAAACAAAAAGAAAATCTCGGAGAGCATTCATTCTCATGGGAGTGAAAAGGAAGGTAAAGACAGAGGAAGAAATATCACATGGAAATGGCAAAGCTATAGAAATTCTGTATAAATGTTAAATCATTTTTCAGTTTGAAAGGTAACAAATACAATACAAGTATATAAAATTCTCAGCAAATTACCTAGTGGTTTGAATTACATTTTTTGGGGATTTTTTGCCCTGGATATCTGTAATATAAAGGCTAGAGATTAAAGCTGCATGAGTCTGCTGATCGGTTTAGAAAGAACATACATACAGGATTTGATGAGCATTTTGAAACTGTGGTTCAGATTTCTTTATTGATGCAGCTTTATTACCTGGCTTGGTTTCTTCCTGTTTTCTTTACACTGAAAATGTAAATAATGCCAAATCAGAATGGCCTTGCAAAATGGTGCTTGCTTATTGGAAAGAAACTGATTTTTGCATAAACCAAATCACAAGTCTTCCATGTTAGTGTAACAGTGGCAAATTGGCATTTGTCATTGGAATATGAAGTGCTCTTTGACCAGGCTGGCTTTTAGGAGACTTGATTCCCCTTCTTATTGTAGAGCAGAATTGGAACATCCGGGATTGTTTTTAAGTTCCATAAATGTTTAGATATTCTTTCCTCAGTGTTGGGCAGAAAGAAGCTTGGAGCTTTCTGGAAGAATAAATCAAGTCTTCTACCTTAATATTTTGTGCTTCCTCCTAGACAGTCTGTTCAGGTTATCTCAGTAATCTTGTTAATTATACCATTCAAAGTTATTTGTCCTTACTTTCTCTTTGCCAATTTGTGATACTGTGTAGTCGCAAATGACAAGAATTTTTTTCTTTGACATTCTGGGGGACAGTGCTATGACCAGTCCTCATGTGTGCTGAAGAGATGGGGGAATAGCGTATGATAGAAAGGCATGAAGTTCTGTGCCACTGGCATTCTGCTAACAGTCATCAGGGGACACAGTGATTCCCTGATTAACCCTCTTAGCATGTTTCATATAGTAGATCAAAGAGCTGGCCCTATTACTGTATTTAAGTATTCATGCACCTTCTGTGTGAACACAATTGAACTAGTACCAGCTGAGATTTATTGAAAGCCTTAAGTTCATGTTTTCCTAACTTTTTTTTGCTTATGATTAAAACCATTCTTAGATGGGCCAAGTGCTTTCTTCTTACTTTTTTTTATAGGACTGGGTGGTATGCCTTACTTGGGGTCAGGGCTAGCTAAATTTGTCGTGACCCTCTGGAGGTACTGCCCATCTCTTATGAGGGATTGCAGCCAAGAAGGGAAATGGGTGACTCCTCTGGGGTGAGTAGCCTTGCTTTTCCCTGATCCACTTCCTTGATCCAGGAAAAATCAGAGGAATTTGAAAACTTTTCTTTCTCCCTCACATTTGGTTTTTGTAGAGTTGGTTACCATATGGTGTAGGAGTGCTCTGAGATGGGATCCTTCAGCCCATGCACACAGGGCATGTTAGGGAGGTGTTTGTGCTGAGTGGATGGCTCAGGGTAGTTCAGCCACCTGAAGTGCTTCTCTCCATGCTCCCTGTGAATGGGAAAACTGGTGTCAACAGTACAACCAGCTTGCACATTGTTCCCTGTGCTTGTCAACTCTTCATCCTGCAGCAATCTTCCCCTTTATTTTAGCAGGACTGTTGACACCAGTAATGTGGGGTTCACAGCCTTGTTCTCAGTCACTGTTCTCTTTTAAACCATTCTACTAGCTACATAATAACTTGACCACACAGGTATTTGGTAATCTTCTACAGTCTGTCCATTGTTTCATTTGGAAGCTGTTAAAGAGGTAATGTCATTTGTTCATTTTTGTGGTCTGTTCAACTGCTATCAAGTTTAAAGGGGAAATCACACATGCTTTTCTGTTATTTTTTTTTTTTTTTTTGTAAATTAGTAAAGCAGATTGCAATAGTATTAATTAAAAAAATGATTTTATTGCAGAATAAGTACACTGGTAAAACTGCTGACAGAATAGGCAGCATACTCACAGAAAAATGCATTTGTATATAGTTTTCACACAGCGTAACTATTACAGGAACTGTTTTGATGTTCCCTGTTTACATTGGACATATTTACATTTGCAAGGCTCTTGACCATTGTTTCTTACGCAGGGAATGGCCACATTTTACAACAAGTTTGATTTTAGACACAGTTAAGGAGATACTTTGAGAACAGACACAGGAGAACTGCTATTTGTTTGGTGATGACTTTTCAAATTGTGTGCCAACAATATGAAATTCTGTTCCTTGCAAAGTAGTATCAAAAGTTTTGGTTCATGTAATGATTGAAGAATCTTACTGCCTTGAAATACAGAAAACCATAAACAAACTCCTAAGAGCAGTCTCAAAAGAGAAGGAGTGACAAAAGGCATAGTAAGATAAGGAGAATCAGGTATAGCAGACAAGGGACTTGGTGTAATTATTTCTAATTATAGTTGCATAGTGATTCTAACAGGTTGGTAGTTTTGTTTCTTTTTTTAGTTTCTTTTTTTTTGTACTTGGGTCTAGCTTTGGGTCTGGTGTGCTACTGTTGTAAACTCCTGAAGTTCCTGAGGAAAAAATTCCAACACAAGTAACATTTATGACAGGAGTTTATATTTTTCCTCTTTTCTCCCCTGTGTAGGTGGCCTTCTAATCTCCTCAGCACACTTTGGAGCATATGTGTGTGGTACTGATATAGATTACAACACAATCCACGGATTAGGTATGTTACATATTTCTAAACCACTGAAATCTTGCTCTCTGGAATTTAGGATGGTAGTGGATGATACTTAGTGGATTTTAAAGCAATATTAATCTTATTAGGATTTATTTGGTCATGCTTATTTTTATTCACCAATTTACATGTATCCTAGATAAAATATTGTCTTATTTTTAAGCAGGAAATATTTTAAAAAAGGAATAATAAAAACCAAACAAAATTCCAAATAATAATTACCACACCTGTGTGCTGTCTTAACCTGTGATGTAGGAAGCTTCTCGTAACCTAACCCAGGAAGTCTAATCTTATTCTTACTTCTCTGAAAATCTGCAGTTCAAATTGTATCTGACCTAGTGGACAGGATTGTGACTGATGGTCAGAGAGAATGTCTAACAAAACAACATTTTTACAAATGTGTTCTGGGACACCCTGTGCAGATGGTGCAGCAGAACTTTTCTAGTGTATTTTCATTATTTCTTGCTACTTCTGAAGTTTACTGCAAGTACTTTTGACAGGTTTTGTAGTGACATTTAATTATTTTCCTTTAAATTAAATGGTAGAGTATATGAAAAGCTTTTCTTATATAATTGTTTCTTGTTGAGTGTGCTTTTTTTCCCCCTCTCTGGGCCCTCTCCCTTCCCAGGCAAGGCAAGCAGAAAGAACCAGAAATGGAGAGGGCCAGATGAAAATATCAGAGCTAATCTCCGACAGTATGGTTTAGAGAAATACTACCTCGATGCACTGGTTGCTGATTCTTCCAGGCCAATATGGCGAAAAGGGATGCTGTTCGATGCAATCATTACAGACCGTAAGTTTGTTGCTGCTTTTTGTTGCCTGATAGCAGTGACTGAAAGATTATTGCCTGTGTCTGTGCCTATGTGTGTTGATTTAATGTCTGGATGAGTGCTCAGATCTGCAGTTTATCAAAGATGGTTATTGAGAGCAGCACTGTGGAAATTGGATCTGCATTTGACATCTCTGCATTTATTTTAAGGGTAGTTATAAATGTGTAACAAAGCTGGCAGTAACTCTTTCTTCCGTGGAGAGAATATTATGCTCACCAGCAGAAATCAATATGGCTGGAAATCATCCTTTGAAGAAGTCTCATTTAGTAAAAGCGTAACTTCATTGATGCACAGAGACTTCTTATCAGAATGGTACATGTTGCTGTTAGAACTTGATCTGCAGGACATTGGAGTCTGCCATGCAGCCTTGATGGACTTCTGAAGATTTATGTTAAATACTTATTGTAATGCTTCCAAAGAGAAGTTTTAATGTGTTTCCAATACACTTAACCACTAGAAGCATTAGCATTTTGGAAGGATCCTTTGCTCTTTTAGCAACCTATGTACTAAAGACCATTTGTCATGTATGAGAGGGAATAGAAACTAAGGGAATAAATGAAAGACCTTGATACAGCAATTTCTGATCTCTAGTGCTGACCTTATGATGAGACATTCATATTAATTAGGAATAGGGAGCGTGACTTTTCTTTGTAGGTTGCTTGCTAGTTTTTATTTGGTCTATTTGGCAATAAAACAGTGTAGAATAATAATATGGACTCAGAACTGAGTGTGACACAATTTGTAAGACTTCTGCAATGGTTATATTGGTGCTTCCATGATGCTGAAACAAGTCTCACAAAACCAGAGGTTTTGAACATGAAATAAGTATGTTATGTTATTAGAAATGTGCACAAATGTGTGAGAAAAAGCCGTCTCTGGTTCTTATGTGAGAGAATTACCATTTGTGTAATGTACTGGCAAGAAATTCCAATGTACTTAATTTCATTTTGAAAAAGGTTAACTAAGTGCTATAGGGGACATGTTCATGTCTGGCAAACAAAAGAGGATGGTATTATTTGTCACATGTTTCAAGTCTGAGGAATATCTTTTAATCAACAAAACAGAAAAGCATTGTTCTTTGTAGTGTAGCAAACTTCTAGTCTATTAGAAGCTCTTAGAAAGCTGAAGGGCTTTCTTTGAATCAGTTCTAAAGTAACCTTTTGGAGTAATAAACTTTTAATAGATCTTGAAGAAATTTTCCTTGCTTAGTTTTACTTTGTAAAAGCTTTTCTTTTTTTAACTTTGTATAAGCCACAGTTTATGCACTGTCGTGTATGTATGGTATAATTGTGTGTTATTTGGACAAGGAATGAGGTTCTCATCTCTGCGTTATGCATTTGCTTTGTCTAGCACCATATGGTATCAGAGAAGCTACTCGCAGAACGGGTTCACAAAAGGAAGCAGTTAAGTCAGTTGAAAGAAGGTAGGTGAGCTGTCTCATCTGTTGTAGAATATAAATGTCTTAATGGAAATGTAGTCATAGTTTTAGAATCTTTACTATTTCTTGGTCGGCTATCGACAGTTAAAAAAATGGTGGCAATATAAATTAAAGAAGAAAAGCCCTTTTTACTCTATTTGCAAAACCAGTATGTCATTTCCTGAAATCATCTTGGTTTTGTTCTCCCTGCTTATCATTTGTGTGTGTTCAGATTTTGAATCCTATTTCTCACCTCTGTGAGCCATCATTACCTTTTATTTCCTATTCTCAGAAAGTTCTCTTCAGTCTCTGCAGGCCGCAAAATCAGTCTAAAATAGAATACCCATACTTTACCCCAACCTCTTCTCTTTTGGATTTCCACTGCTCTTTTCAGAGATAGGTCATGGCTTCTCCACTGCCTGGCCTTCATTTTCTTCTGTGTTTTACTCTAAATTGTTAAGAAAGCTGTTGTTAAGAAACAACTATTCCCAGTATACCTGTGATTCTTTGACTTCAAATACTAAAGATGATAGTCTGAAGAGCCAGTTATGGGAACTTGCAAAGTCATATTCCTCATATTAGAAGTTGTATTTCTGGATTGTCACAATTACTTTTGCAAGTGTCAGATAGTGCTTTTGTGGTCTGTTTTTGGTTTGGGTTTTTTTAGTTATTATTTTAAGAAATGTAGGTTTTACCCGTGCTTTTATGTTTGTTTACACTTGTACATTTTTTGTTTAGCACAGAAAATCACATCTTCGTTTCATCCAATTATCATCTAAGTGACATCTTTTTTGACCTGTTGAAGTTTGCGGCAGAATATCTGGTGATGGGAGGAAGATTAGTTTACTGGCTGCCAATATACAGGCCTGAGTATGTATTGTTGATTTCTGTTATGCTGTAAGTCAGAATGGCTGCTGCACTTTCACTGTGTTTCTTTTGGGGCACGGTACAGCTGGAGCTTCCATAGCACCAGCACTCAAGAGTAGTGCCGAGACTTCGTATTTTAAAACTTTGTGTGAGGAAAACCAGATTTTGAAATAAGGTTTTTGAATGGCGATAATTCCTGACTATTACCAAACAGAAAAAACCTTAGTGTGTCATTGCAAATGTACATCCAGTGAGTTGAGGTTTAAGCTTAGGAAATTAAACTTTCAAGGTACATATTAGAATGTGTTTCTCTAGAGTAATTGATAAAGATGTGTGACAAGGTCCTATGAAAAACATTCTTGGTTCTTTGGAGTTTGGCACTACTAATTTAGCTGTCTTCTGAGAAATAAAAGTCAAATGACCAGGAGATGGTAGTGAGAGGCAAGAATCATAAGGGAGCAGCCCTGTTAAGGACGAGAGGGGCCAGCAGAGACTGCGGGATCCTGTCTGCTCAGTAGTGCAGCCTGAGTTCAGAACTGAGTTTAAAAGGAAAGACAGCTGTTTGCATACCTTACTTAAGCATCTCTTAGATAAGGTTTGATGGTATTTTTGGTTTGGCTTGGGTTATTTTTAAACTGTTTCACTGTAAAGTGAAGAGTTCTGTAGGTTTTTCAAAGTATCTTCCAGATACAGATGTGCTCTGAAGGTAGTTTTTACAGTGTCAGATGTTTCTATGTACAGTCAAAATATTACTGATGAATAAAGTGGTGGTTGTCCCTGATTTCATCATGGAAATGGCTTGTGCCAGTCCTATATATCCTATATATCACACGCTTTGAAAATTTGGAAATCAAATGGAGCCATTTCTTTTATGTGCTGCTGTAACAGAAGAGTGCACTTAGCAGTTTGCATTTTTTTAATAAATGATAGAATTGGTATCTTTAGGCTTTTTTTATTGTGAGACAATTAAAAAAACAAAGCAATGAATGCCATTACAGTATTATAGCTAGTTGTTCAAAATGTCTGTCTATACATGCTTAGCCCCAACAGACTGTGTGTCATTGTGAATTCTAAGATTTCAATGTCAATAAAAATGGTTTGGATTTACTGAATTTATTCTGTTCATCAAGATACTAGAGTTTTTCTGTCCGCTTATTGAACTTTGATAAAAAACATGTTTCCTCACTTCAACTAACTTGGGAACTGCACATTCAGGATCTACTTTGGTTGCTGTTTTGGGGAGGTCTAGTTAAGTTGCCTCATAAAAAGTGAATTTGTACATCCTACTGTGAATTGAAATACTGAAGTCACTATATTAGCACGGAATATTAGTACAGTCAGTTTATTTTCAGTTGTAATGCTGAACAAGGGAACAGACATTAAAACAAGTATGTAGGGGGAAGGGAAGATACTTTCTACTAACATATTGCATTATCAAATATCCCTTGGCAACACCTGCCTTCAATTTCATTTCTTGAGATCCTTGTGTATTACCTTAAATTAAAGCCAAAACTGGATTGAATTGGATGTCTGTTAAAACCACTGCTTCTGTATTCCTTACTTGATAAGGTTCTGAGTTTTACCTGAAAGAATGTAGAAATACATGCATTAATGCTAACAGACAAGGCTTTTTAACAAACTGATAATGATCTCTCCTTCTGCAAGATAGCATCTCACTCCAAAGTTTACTCTTTCAGTCTGACATTGAAGTCATTGTTGAGTCAGAATTCTTTTAATTCCTTTGCAGTCAGTCTTTTATAGTGTTATATATTTATAAACTTTATTACATATATTTTCTATATATATTATTGTATATTTAAAAATTTAAGATGTGGTGGAGTGCCTACCTTCGTAGGAGAAAGAGCAAGTTTGGTGCTACTAGATGCATCGAAAGTCTTGTATAATAGAAAGAGCAGTTGAGAAATAATTTTATTCTCCTTTGTCAAAAGCATGTTCTGACATCAGCTAGCGGAAGTAGCAAGTTGATTCCACATCAGAAGTGACTGAAAGGTTGTTTTGCAGTCTGGAAGTTTTGAGGCAACCAAAGAGGCAGTACTGCTTGGGGTTCTTTTTTTCTTATTTACAAATCTGTGTTTGGTATTGAGTTACTTGTTTAACAGCTCACTGTTATCTTAAGAAATGCCAAGTTTTCCATCAGCACCTAGACGGATCCTATTTTGAGTTGTGTTACATTTGTCTTCTCTTTCTCCCAGAACAATACCTTTACTTTGTAAAGTGCATTCATAAAATCCACCTCTTCACAAGAAAAATGCAAAGCTCCTCTTTCATACCTTATAAGTTGAAGTGATAGGTGTTTCAGTTGTTTAGTTCTGCATTTTAATGTCTGACTCCTGTTGACTCCCAAGCATTGGAGAATCATGAGAGCAGACATTTTGTACAAAGTCATAGTCCCTGACGATACCAAAACCCATTTTCTGTGTTATGTGGAAGTAACTATTGCATGACAGCTTATTACAAAAACTAAGACTAAATGACTGATCTATGTTTCAGTATATGGGAAGGGTGTCTGATCTCATGTTTATTATATTAGCTAGGTCAATACTTCTTGCTGCTCTAGTCCCATGCAAAGGTGTCTAAGTTTTACTTGGCTCCCTGCCAAGTCCGGAGACCCAGCACAAAAACCTCTGGCAAAGAGCAAAGAAAAAGAAACTATGAAAAATCCAGACCAGCCGAACTATATTAAAATAAATGTATTTACGTATATTACAGTCAAATACGGTTGAAATACTATATACAATCCCGAAAGGGAAAGGGAAAGGAAGGGGAAAAAAAAAGCAACAAAAAACCGAAACAGATATACACAATCAAAAAAACCCCTCAGGATCTAGCAAACTAAAGAATTAGCAAAAGAATATCTTACTACTTTCCTTGGGATAGCACAGTCGCCCAAACACCGCCAACCACACTATCGGACTCCAGATCAGCAGGAACAACAGGCCCCGTAGGCCCAGCCAGGCCCCAGCTCCCCCACAGAAACGAGACCGGCTGTGGGGAATCTGCTGTCTCCAAACCTCGCCGGAAGGGAAGAGAGGAAGAGGCTTCTCTCTCTGTCTATTTATATGTTTGGATTACGTAAAGGAATAGGATGGAATACTTCCTTCCTTCCTTCCTGGCGACCAGGAAGGAAGGCCTAAACTCAAAACCATTACAAAAGGTCTTAAATCTTTAAATTCCTCTTACAGCAATAGAAATAGAAAGATTGAAAGCAATCTAGAGAAAGCACTTTCTACAGAAAATAGTATGCTTATGAGATGGGGCATTTAAAACACTTTAACTGCTTGCTTCTATAGATAGGATTTAATTGTAAGCCAGTGTTGCTGCTATCTAATGTTAAATGATAATGGATTTTTTTCTTGCCATTAGAAAAAGTAATTATGATGAGATAGGTTTGTAACACCAAATGTTGAAGTTCAGGAATGTCACTGTCTATTAAGATCTGACTTAATAAGATTTGAAATTGAAGCATAATGGTCTCTTTTTAGGGAGCTGGAGTTAAGTCTCTTATTCCTGCAACATCATATACGTTGGCTGGAATATGTTTTTAAAATCACAGCTCCCATTGGATAAGTTATTATTTCTGGTTGGCTGAGATATTTTCTACTTGACATTATACAGGCAGGCCTGTGTGCATACATTAATGTAATTTAAATACATATGAAAAAAGGAGGAGGGTTATGTCTCGACAGTGTGAGCTTTTAATTTATTCTATACACTATATGTCACAAGATGATTGAAATATATGTTGTCAAAACTCTGGAGCACCGATATCTGAATTTCTTTAATCAGATTAAAGTGCATAACAACTTTCTAGTGTAAGCCTTTTTGTGAAGAGTCTGTAAGAATTTTGTTTCAGATACAAGTCTTCCACTTCATGAGCTTGCAGCATTATGAATGTTAATTTCTTCCAGATATACAGAAGAAATCATTCCTCGCCACCCGTGCCTGAAACTTATTAGCAACTGTGAGCAGATGCTTTCCAGCCACACATCAAGGCGCCTGATTACCATGGAAAAGGTGAAAGAATTCAAGGTAAGCTTGAATTCTTGATTATGTTGTGTAAAATAGTAGTTATAGCATTCATGACAAGTTTGTGCTATTCACCAGTTGATCCTTATTTCTATCACACTTGAGTTTTTATGATCAGATTTAGAGCTTCTGGAAAATTGGGTAGTGATATAAGGTTTCTGGTTTGGTTTTTTTCCTTTTTTTTCTCAGTTTTTGGTAAACTCTTCATCCCAAGCAAGCCCCTGAATAGTGTGAAAAAGATCTTTGAAGTTATGGTTACTTGTGAATCCCATCCACAGAGATGCCTAAGTTTCCATTGATTTCAAAGTTTAACTTGATGCCCAAGTATATACTAAATGGCTTTGTGGGTAAACCATATTCGATTCTGTTACTTCATCTTTAGAGCTCTTAGTTTTTGAGATAATATTGAAGTTGTGAAAGTACAGTGAAGCACACTGACTCTTTTTTTGTTTTGGGACACACTAAGTGGCTCTCCTGAGGTACTGGGGGGAGGGAATATTGCATTCAGGTCTCCTTTCCATTCTCGATGCTTCTCTCACTCAATACTGTTAAAAGAGATGCAAAGCAACTGTGAGGCAAATTCTTAATGAAAATGCACACAGTGAGCAAGTGCTTTTAGTACAATCCTTGTCAGTTGGAAGAGCTGTTTCAGATGACAGGAGATACAGTCAAACTGCTGTGTCTGCATGGTGCTTGCACTAATAACACAGCAGGGTTTCAGTACTGTGCTCATAATGCTCATGATAAGTGCAGTTCTCAAGCAACACCTGAATTTTTAAAAGCACCATAGTTGGAGTCCAGTGTCGGAGCTGCCAACTTCACCAGTAGCGAACCAGGAGGGTAGATGCTGAAAATTTTTGACATGTGTGTCTCAGGGTTTTCAGGGAGGTTTTCTGCAGGAGTTTTATTAATACCAGTGCTGTAGGATAACATGTTCTAATCTAAAAAATATATCCACCATTCTGTGATTAGACTTTTGTCATTTGTTATTCTTGTTTTGTGCATCACCTGTTCTTCAGTACATGATTTGACAGGTTCATGTCTGGAAATGCTTAGCTCTGAGCACCTGAGAATATTTGGCAGGCTTACTGCTTAGATAAAACTGTGCAAGTGCTTATATTCAGGACTCCAAAAGTCTGTTAGATAATCTGAAGATACCAGAACCCATGTATGGTTTTTGATGATGTAAAACTTATCTAAAGAACAAAATGCATATTGAGTCCTTAGCCAATGCCTGCCTGGTTTAGGGTCTTGTTTGGTGTCTTAAGATTTCCCCACCTCAGTATCCCTTACTTGGAACATGGCTTTTCCTTTCTTAATATCCTGAGCAACCTTTGAATTGAATATTTCTTTGACTCACCAGATGTGATCATAAAATTCAATAGATAGTGTTTTGGCTGTTTTCTTAAATGAAAGAGTGAATTTTTATGAATATGCAAACATTTATGTTTCCAGACAGTTCCTGTCTGTTTTACTAAACTGGTCTGTAACAGACCCTCACAGCTGCCTTTTAATTCAGCTTAGTGCAGCACTTGCAAGTGGCTAAGAAGTTCTACGAATCATGTAGTGTCATTATGCAGTTCTTTGGTTTCCCCAGGGTTTGCCACCAATAAGGAATTGCAGATTTCACAGCAAATTTGATTTCACTGTTAACACTCTAAACTCTTAAATGAAGATGAATTCAGTCAGTTACTGAAATTGATGGTGCATTTTGTTTTGAATTGTAATAAAAAGGAGACCAAAATGAATGCAAAAAGTGAGTATGTCTAGGTGAAGTATTGGTCTATCATAACTAATCATTAACATGAAGATCATATATGTTGAATTAAAAGCCTCACAAAAGGTGGTATATAACTCACTGTCTAGTGAGCATCCAGGCTGTTCTTTTTAAGTTTACAGTGAAATCATGCCAACTGGAAAAGATTTCTTACTGAACTCAGTGTTGATATGAATAGGCTTTTCCAGCATATGCACAGTATGAGCAGAGAAGTTGTTCGTTTATTAACATTTAAAGCTTTTTTTTTTTTTTTAAATTACCGTTTCAGGCAACTTTTGCCATTGTTCCTCCCAGCACAGTGCTCACCCCAAAATTTCCATGTCACATGGTCACTCCAGAGTTGTTACTGGTGTAGAATTTTTCCTGTTGAATTTAGCAGTGTCTGTTCCTGGATATGACCCTGTTGTCCCCGTTTTGGTAACTGGTCCGTTTTGTTTATAGCTGTATAACATTAGTACAAGTGGTTTCTGTAGCTACTGTCCAGTACCAGATGTGGAGTGGTAGGAAGAGGTGATAGGGCTAGGAAGAATTTTTTTCTTTAAACAAAAACTGAATGTGGGTAATTACCCTGGAGCCAAATTGAGACATGCTAGATTTATAAAAATCTTTAGAATATCACTTAATATTTGCCAAGATTTCAAGAAAAGCAAAACTTCCTTGTTATCATTAAGCGTCCTCCTCTCTTCCACCTCTGTCATTATTTACTGGAGATCTGTAACACCTATTTTAGTGTTGTCTTTACAACAGATAAGTGTTGAGTTGAAAACTCAAAGTAGCTAAAAGCAATTTGGTAGCTTTTTGATAAGAACTTTGTTGGTTTGCAGTTGTCACAGAACTCATCATAAAACATTTCAGAGCAACATTTATGTGGTAACTGCTGCTTGCAATTAGTCTGCTGTTTTGAGAACTTATATTATTCAAAATAAGAACCAAGGGTGATGATAAAGAATGAACAGAGATTAACAAACATCTCCTGTTCTGAATTTTACAAATAAAAGAAGAAGTCTTTGTCTTCTTGGTTGTGCTGACACACTAGGGAAAGAGCTGACTTAGTGCCAAGCAGGCTGATCATTGCTGATCGGTCTTCTAAATTATTTCTTGGGAAGTCTCACTGTTTTGTGTTAAATAACCAATTACGCCTTGAAAACTACATATGGTTGTTTCAAAGGAAATGAGAGAAAAAAGTTACTCATCCCTGGATGCAGCTGTGTGTCACCAGCAGCACTGCTTATTTCTCTTCCAGCATGTCAAGAGAAGGAAAGAGACTGTCTTCCTTAAAACCCTATGGTTCAACTCCATTCCCTGAATTTAAACTTTCTTTTCCTTTTTTTTTTCCTAAGAAAAAAAAAGTTAAAAAACATCCATGTTAACTGCACTGGACAGTTAATGCGTTTGAGGGAGACTTGACACTGCCCCTGACACCTTCCATAAGAGAGATCTCTTACTGCAGAATGTTCCTGTCATATATTTAGTTTGCATATTCTAACAATTTATGCTACTCAAGACAGAGAGTAACTCAGGATGTTTGACTGATTTCCTTACTGAAACAAGCTGCTGCTTGATGCCCAGGCAAATTCTAGTGCAAATTGTCACAATAAATTCTTTAATGAAGAGTTTTTTGGACAAGCATTCCTGGTGTTCAAGTTGTACCCATTCAGCTCCCTGATACAAAATGTCGTAATTTAGAATTTGTTTGGAAATCATTAGTTTCTGAAATCCAAGAATTTATTTTACTTTGATCAATTCTCATGTTGCCCATAAAACTATTTTGACTAGTAAATGCTAACAGTGAGTGTTACCTCCAGGTAGTTCAGGATTTCTTTAATTTGTTTTTCCCTCTTTTAAAGAGCAATTCACAATCTGTTGATTTTTTTTGTTGTTGTTTTTGGTTGGTTGGTTTTTTGTTTGGTTTTGGGTTTTTTTTTAAGCAATCACCATCTTTATTAGGCAGTCATGCCTGTGCAAGAGAGAGGTAGAGAATGAAACTTCTTAAACTGGAATTATTGTGATGTGGGCCAGGAGCTTCCTTTGTAATCTCTCCCAATAAACCCATGCGTAGCTGCAGATCTCTCATTTAGTGAGCAGAGTTTTGCAGAGCTTTTGATGAGGCCTGGATTTTCAAGATAGATTCTGCTGTGGAGTGGTGCACCAAGCCTGTTTCCAGGCTTGAATACAGATGCTCCTATTACACCTGTGTTTTACTTGAGGTTTGTTCTCTTACACAGTATATCCTCTCTTTGCCTTAATCAGCTTGGGGATAGAGGAAGGAGAAGTTTCTTTCCTCTTTCTTCTCTTCACCCTGAATCAGCATTTTGTTTCTTACAGAATCAAGATGAATGGTGTACACATGTGTGACCTCTTAGAGGTTGTGGGGATTATGCTATTGAGCATAATAAAGTGACATCAATAAGCATAACACTGTTTTTAGAAGTCCCATCAGTTTTCTTTAGCACTCAGGTCAAAGTTTGATGTATTGTTTAGCTTATAGCATCGCTAATGTTAGTTGACAAGTAATTGTGTAAAGCCATAATACACAATGAACTAAACCTTTGTATATGTAGTGGGACAGTTTTCTAAACTATATTGTTGGCTGGTGTCAAATATGTATTATGTATAGGGATTTACTGTATCAACTTTCAGAGGTATATGAATGCTGCACAAAAAAATTTTCTCTGATTGTGCTTCAATAACTGTAGGAACTCATTTTAGCTGACTGTGTTCCTCTTCTGTTTGTACCTGCCTTAGTGATGGAATTCACCAGACGGCATTTTTTCTGGAAAATACATGTTTTCCTTTATAAAAGTCTGTGTAGCATAGTACCTGTGCTCCTTCATTCATGTAACGGTAAGATTCTTGTGATGCCAGATGAGATATTTTCAGTGATGCAGCGCTGTTAAAACTGACAACTTGCGTAGTTTTGCTGTACAGAGTAGAATAATGGAAGTTTGAATGAGTACATTAAGAAACACAAACAAAAACTAACATCACAACCAAAATCTCTTTGTCTGCTTACAGCTTGTATTTGATTAATGTCAAATGAGAACCCATGGCATATGGAATTTCATTTCTGTTAAATGTTAAGACTTTGAAGTAGAATGTATATGTTCTTGTTAATCCTAGTGGAAACCTTAGCATTCTATTTTTTAAATTCTTTAAATCAGTCTAGTGTCTTAAATGGGTGCTGTTGAATTGTAAAAAAAATCTAACTACTTTACCCTTACTTGTA